TACGTGACTGTTTTTCACAATTAAAAATTTGTCTGTGTAGGTTTTTGAGATTGCTTTCACATCGTGAAGTGAACTGTAATGCTGCCAAAAATTTTAACAAAGTAATTTTTAAAATATATAAAAAAGATAATTAATTCTAATAAACAGAACAATTCCATCTAAACATTTGATTGCATTTGTTTATACACATGCACACATATTTTTCATAATGAATGATTCCAAATTTATGATTCCTGATATTTAAGAATAAATGCTATTGACTTTCATATGTTACTAACATTTAATCAACTGTTGTAATAAACATCACATAATCAATACTGTCATTCATTATCAGAAATGATTGCAGTCAAATATCAATAAAAAAAAAAAAAAAAAAAACTGATATTATGTTACATTTTCAGTCAGAAATTTATCTGGACCAAAATTCTTACTTTTTTGTTTTTTGTTCTTTTGACCAAACTAGGAGGTCTGTCCAGAATGCATCCAGTCATTTTGAATATCTTGAGAACTCATTGTTCAGTTTTATGTAACTTTGGAATCAATCAAGGGGACCTTACTGCACATGCATGAACTGACACTTTTGCATGGCATTACTAAGAAGTGAGATGCCACTTGTGCACCGTATGACTGCTGCATTCACAATGAGTGTGGAGATACTTTACATCTTGCACAAGGTTTTTTGGCAAAACATCTCATCACCTAATCATGTCAGTTCCCTACAGTCCATATTTGGTTCCTGGCAATTTCTCACTTTTCTGAAAGTGAAAAATTTGCTTTTGAAAGGAAGATTTCACACAAGATGAGAGAAAAAGTACTTTAAAGTGTGGAAGTGACATTGGGATCAGGAGTAGTTTGAAAGAGACTAAGATGCAATTGCCCTAGGTAGGCTATTTTTCATTAATATTAAATAGCTGGATATTTAGTACATAGACCTCCTATTTTGGTAGATATATTTTCTAGTATAATTCATATAATATCAGCAGATAATAATTTTATAAAAGTTTACTAAATTTGTTAATTTAGAAAAAATGAAAAAGGGGCAAATACAATTTTCTGTAACTAGATAGCAGTATTTCAGTGACTATTTAAGTTATTTACTATCCTTAAATTATAACAATGCTAAAAAATCTATGAAGGACTGCAGCTTCTAATTATTATAATGTTTCTCAGTTTAACAAAATTTTAATTTCAAAAGCAATTTAAAATTAAAGTGTAATGTTAGATTGCTTAACAGAGAGATAATTTTTTTTCATTTTCCTTTAATGTCTTTCATGTATTTGTTTTTTAAAGAAAATTATTTAAAAAATAATAAGTAATTAGTCTATAGATGCATCAAGTGTACTATTAAATTTGTTTGGTGAACAAAATCTTAAAAAAAGAAAGATATTGGCTGAAATAAATCTGAGTTACTGGAAAAAGAAAGAAAAAATCTCTTTAAATGAAACCTTTAAAATTATTAAGTAATTTGAAAATTCCCCAATACAAATTTTCTAAATTTCAAGGTTGGTTTAAAAAAAAACAAAAAAAAACTTTTTTCTCTATGCCCATATAAAGAAAATGTCCATTTTTTTATCAATGCTGTTTTTTCTTTGGTGCTATGATTTCTTGCAATTTTTGTAGCACTTCTGTGAAGAGGAGTGTACCAAGGAAGACAAGAGAGGCTCCAATCCAGTGGAATGTTGTAAAAGGGTTCTGAAAATACCAAATAGAGAAGATGAGGCTGACAAACTTCCTCAGGGTCACTACCAGGGTCACAGTTAGTGAGGTACATTCTGTAGTTAGGATGAACACACTGCGTATACATACATACTTGAGACAGTGAATTAGGGAAAAATAACTATTGACAATAATGTTTATCATAAGATAAAGAGATAAACAGACATAATATTCAAGTAGTACAATAAAGACAATCAAAGTAGATAGAAATGACAGGAACGGATTTCTTACCAAGTATCATTTTCTGCTTTCTACAAGAGTGCTGGAGTTTGTTTCTTACTAATCTATCAACAAAATTTAAGCATATTCTCAAAAAGGAAAAAAAAAATCTAACTTTAGCTAAGCAGATTCAAAGAGGCATTCAGTTATTAATGATAATATATTAAAATTGGTATCCATAATAATCTTTTGTATAGTATAATGATATAGATATTTAGTACATGATTTGGGTCATATAGCATGAGTAAAAAAATAGTAAAAGGATGGTTATATATATATATATATATATATATATATATACAGTGTATCTTCATTCAAGCATGTTTCATTGAATAATCCTTTCTAGTTCTCTAATTAGCTTCTTGATGTTTAGTTGAAATTCATCAAGGAAGGTTCCATAGTTTTTGTTAATCCAAGTACTTTTGATCACCTCTGAGATCATCCTCAGGGATGAATTGTGAAGACAAACTTAATGTAACCATTACAACGATCACAGTATGGGTTAACAAAAACTATGGCACATTCCTTGATGAATTTCAACTTAACATCAAAATGCTAATTAGAGAACTAGAAAAGATTATTATAAAAATAAATAGACATAATATGTCTACATTATTTAATAAAACATGTTTAAATATATATTATATATAATGTATAGAAGCAGCAGATTGTTATTTAAATATATATTATTAAATATAACAGACAATGAATGTCTATTATGTCTGATCATGAGCCATTCCAATGTTTGAATGTTTGCTTTAATTTCTGGTGAAAATAAAGACAAAAATTGTCCAACATTTGTATATTTCTTTTATTAAGTTGGTGCTAAGCTTTCAGCTTGCAAGGGCCATCCTCAGAGTGTTTATACAGACATAAAACAAAGATGTCCACTGTCAAAGATGATAGTTTGTTATTTTGACATAGAAGATTGCTATGCGGAATAGCAGATGCAGATTGTAAGTTCAAGATGCAGTTCTATGACATCATACATTTACATGCCTGTTCAGAGATTGTATCTCTGATGCTAATAATAAACCCGCAACATATATTGGTTTTACTACAACCACGCTCTCCTGTAGACTTACCTGTCACCTTTCTGATCTTAGTTCTATTAAGCAACATTTCTTAGAAAAACATAGCCATGTACATAATATTAGACAGATATTATTCGTTAACACAATAATACTCACACATACACACACCTTCAGATATTGGAGGCCATCTATATTAAAATGAAGTAACCCACACTCAACAAAATTACATTTCAAACTAGTCACAACACATTACATTGCATCTAGATATTGGTTCTGTTGTAATACTTTGGTCTATCGCATGGTATGACATCATAGAACAGCATCTTGAACTTACGATCTGTGACTGCTATTCCGCAACTGTTAACACCGCATAGCAATCTTCTATGTCAAAATAACAAAATGTCATCTTTGATGGTGGATATCTTTGTTTCATGACTGTATAACTACTCCAAGGATGGCTAATGTGAACTGAAAGCTTAGCACCAACTTAAAAAAAAAATATCCAAATGTTGGACAATTTTTGTCTTTATTTTCACCAGAAATTAAAGGAAATATTTGAACATTAGAACAGTTCATGATCAGACATAATAGACACTCATTGTCTGTTATATTTAATAATATATATATATATATATATATATATATATATATATATATATCAAGTTGTATTAACATATGAAAGGGCAAGATAACAGGAAAGATACTTAATCCTAGACTTGAAGAGGTCAAGATTTAATTAGTGATAAAAATTTCAGAGTTCAGGCAGAGACGTTAGAAGTATTGAGTTGAAGTAGGCATTAGAAGAGACTGGAAATCCAAATCTAAACATGAAACACAGAATGAACCTCTACTCCTGTTCAAAAGATCAGGGAGGGGTCTCATATATATATATACACACAGGCATTAGGCAATTGAATGGAAAAATTCTGTGCAATGTATTTTGTCTTCTAGAAGGACTTCATTGGACGAAAGTAATGTTTTTATTGACAGAATTGTATACATGTTTATGTGTGGCAGGGGTATATAAATGTGAATATCAGTTATAATTATATACTAAAAGAAACAGAAAGCTTATCAAATTTGAAAAATAAAAGAATGAATGATAAACTTAATGACTTGATATATATTACTCTATCATAACAGCAACTGAAAAGAATTTATCTAAGATTAACATAATATCTGTTACAACTACTTCTAAAAAAATAAAAGGCATAATTAATACAAAAGAAAATAATAGCCTGAAACTTGAAGAAATTTACTATTTGTCTTTTTTGCCTCTAAGGAATACAAGGAGAAAAATCAAGGAATTTACATAAAAGATTATATGAATACAAAAGAGATCCTTTATAAAACCCACTCAGTGCATTAGTCACTCACCATAATGAGTGACTATAATTGTAATGTAAAAAAATGCTACTTTAATTAAAAAAGAAAGCAATTTACTAAAGCAAAATGTATGGAAAGTGCACAGATTGCTAAATCATCCATGGTAAATTTGTATCCAGGTTATTACAACATTTCACCTTTCTTGGTAGATCTGTTATCACAATGTGATACTTAAAAACACAAATAAATACATAAGGAAATTGAATGAAATTGGCTAGACTGTTTTTTTCCAGATGTATCTGAACATACAAACAAAAAAACCCACAAAAATTTAAAATTTAGTGTTTCCACATCTTCAGAGTTTCTTTTCTAAACTGATACTTGCATTTATATCTCTTTTTCCTACACATAATTGCATCAATAAAAACATTACTTTAGTCTGGTTAAGTCTATCTAGAGAACAAAACATTATACAGGATTTTTTGCACTTTGTCACTCAATTGCCTAATATTGTTCTGATATATAAAATTTATATATCATATTCTCATATATATATATATATATATATTTATATATATAAAATTTATATTATTTACTAAGCTTAGCATAATGCTATAGTGAAACTTCAGTTCACTACATTAGTAAAATGGTCATCATGATAAGCTTACTAAACATAATAAGTACCTTTGTGTGTAAATAGATTATTTATATATAAAATAATTTAAAAGGCAAAAATGTGATCAGATTAAAGAAAGAAATTTTGTAAGTGAAAGGATATTGAGTAAGAACATTTCCAATGAGGTAGATCCACATCTTTGGCATGGCAGTATTTAATATTGGGATGAACATTGGTGCTGAAAGGAAAAAGAAAAGATTTATGTTTGAATTTTTGAGATGCGTAATTATCGAAATATGCCTTTCTATTTAGATTTCTGTTTCAGCTTTTGTACTCTGGTCTTTTTGACTTTTGAAACAAGTCTTTCATTTAATGAACAGAAATAAATTGTTCTCATTCCACTTTCCATGCTTAGGGTTTTTTCCTATCAGTTAATACCCACCAATCTTATTTTTGTATCAGATGTTCATTTCAGATATGTTTTAATCAATGCTTTAATCCACAAAGCTATATGTCTCTTGGAAAATCAAGTGGTATAATTTGGGAACCTTAAACAATGTCTGTATTCAGGTGGTGGAATTTTTGAGTGTCTCTTTTTAATCAGATACTCCCAGAAGGTGATAATCTGTAATTCTAGGTCTACTGAAGAGGTTGTCAGAGCCTAACATATATGCTGATTCTTTCACTTGTCTTATCTTCTAGTGTGTCTATTATCTTGACTTCATTCCACAGGGGTTGATAACCACCTTCCATTCAATCCTCTATACAATCATCCATGTCTCATTTCACTGTGTCTTCCTGAATTGCTACCTTTTGATGTTCCCCACCCTTACTTTTAGTGAGCACTTAACCTTTGTATTCCTTGATGTACCTTTTATGTATGGTAGACAGACTGTAGCAGATATTTCATTGTTGTCTTTGGCTCCTGTGTTATCCTTGCTTGTTAGACCCGATGTTATTCTTGTAGAGTAGCCATTACCTCGGAGGAGATTCTTAATGCTAGTCATCTCCTCTTGGTATATGTTGCGTTGCCACTTATGTGCTTGTCCTGATGTTGCAGGCAGTAGACAATCCCTTTCTTAACATTGTATGCATGATAGGAACTGAAGTTCAGATACTGTCTGGTGAATGTTGGTTTACAATATACAAATGTTATCAACCCATACTCTGTGCAATTTATTAGACCAAGAAAGGCAGTTGACGTTCTATTTCTTTTCTCTATTATGAACGAAATGGAAGGTCTTATAGTTTATGTAGCCCAGCAGTATTTGCACATCTTCCTGGTGGTGCCAGAGTATGAAGGTGTCACCTATGTATTGAAGTCACATAGTTGGCTTTCATGGTGATGCTTCTTTAGACATTTCATCAAAGTATTTTATGTATATGTTTGACATTACTGTAGATAATGGCTGTCCCATAGCTAAACCATTTTATTGGTTTATGTTAGAAACCAGTTTGAAACATTATTCAAACAAGATGTCAACATTTCCATCAGGTTATCTATTGGGACCATTGTATGCACTTTGATGGAGATTTTGATTCCAGTTTGATACCAACCACTGATAGGGTCTCCTCTGTCAGTACCTTAGCAAATAAGCTTACAACATCTGAGACCCCTATCCTATTCACTGATCGTCTCAATGAAGTGGGAAGAGCTCTTTACATAGGATGCAGATGGACTTGTTAATGAATTGATCATACCTACCGGGCATCTACTCAGTGGGTGACAGGCTGAACTTAATTTTGGGCTTCAGTAGAATACTGTTTTTATGAATTCTAGGAAGGTCATACATGGGTGGTAGCAAGCAATTTTTCTTGGTATTCCAACTTGTACCTCATTACTAGTACTTTGATAGTGTCTGCTGGCAATATTATGATTTCAGTATTAATCTGCAGAATTCTAATGACTGTTTTATCCTCTCTTGTGAGGTTTGATTTAGGAGGCTTGGCTTTCTCTGGTGCCAGTCTTACTTTCCATTTCCACTCTTCAATTTGAGCTTTAGAGATTTTCAAAACTGCCTCCTCAATTACAGCTATAATGTCTAAATATAGGACCCCTTGATGGTGGTCACAAATTTGAGACCTTTTTTCAGCACTACTTTCTCAGGGGTTTTGCTGATGTTGAAAACTGTTGTATCTCATACTATGATCTTTCAACTACTGTAGTTTCTGTATTTGGCATTCCTTGGTCCTTTCAATGTTTTGCTCCTTATGTCTTGTCCAGATCATATTGAATTCTATTTCTACACAATTCTGATGTTATTTGGTTAAGGAACAGTTCCATCTGGTTAGTTCACTTTGTTAATTGAGGTTTCATCTAGCAACACTGGTTAATTCTTTCCCTGACTGCTCTTTCCAGAACCATTTGTGCCTTTCTGGAATATATGATATAATAAGCAGGGAGAGAAGAATCAAGGACAGCAATCAAGAATTTGCTACAGTCTGTTTAGCATACAAAAACGGTACATTTGAAAGGATCCAGAGAATGTGTAATTCATACATCAGGACAGTATTCAAGTTGTTTAACCTTTCAGAAATATCTCTCCTAAAGCAAGCTCCTGTCAGAAAAAAAGCATAATCAAGAATTGTGTGTTTTCTATCCTATGCAGTTGTGGCAAGGAATATAAAGGAGACAAGATGTTCCCTGAAAGTATGGGTTGAGCAACAGAGAAAGTTGTAGCCTGGAGAGAGACATTGAAATTAGGCATTTTTGATCATATATAGAAGGAAAAAAAAAGAGTGGTCCTGAATCCCTGTGGAACAAAGTCATGATAATAGACAGAACAACACTGAAGCAGAGGATGACTGAAAGACACATGTTAGGCATTGACAACTTCCTTGGTAAATCTAGCATATATTATCTGGGAACCACTGATTAAGAAAAGACATGTATAAAATTTCACTTTAGGTTGTTCAAGAGACAAATGGCCTAGTAGATTAAAGCATTGGTTAAAACATCTGGTTTCCTGTGAATTCAGTTTCTGAGTTGGATAGTGCTTAAAATTTACATGCTCTGATTCAGGGGAAGGAACAGGCAAGTAACACAAACATGACTACTAGTGAGCATTAACTGATAGGATATATTGCCTAAGCAACAGAAAGTTCTTGTAGATTGATTCAGAATTCTGAAAAGGTAATTGAGTATTATGACACACCTGAAGAAGGCCACAGCTAAAACACTGCATAACAACCAAGATGGATATACTAGTCCAAATAGAAAAGCATATCACAATAAATAGATATTTATATCCTTTAACCGTTTCCTTCTTCAAAATTTTAAGAGGTGAAGAAAATAACATAAAACTTAGATTTTATAAACAAAGATTAAATATTAATATTAAAAATTTGCACAAAATGAGAGTGATCCCGCTATAAAAGAAATCATATTTGCTAGTGTTTTTCAATTAGATTTAGCAAAGTTATTGTTAAACTTAAAAAAATATCTACTTTGCATAGCTGATAAAATACAAATTAAAATTTAACAGCTATTTAATTTGATTAAGTGGATTGTTAGTTGAAAGTATAATTGTTGACAATATGGTCAAGGATCAAAGCATATATAAATATACTAGTTTAAAAGTCGTTATGTCGGGCAGCATTTAAGCTAGCTCCTGTGGAGGGCTCTTGATTGGATTTTTGACTTGTTCAGGAGTTTAAGTCCCTAAGTCTTTGCATATTCTGAGCATTGGAAGCTCTCCTGGCTGCTGTTTGATCTGGGTTTTCATTTGCATGGGACTTTCTTTTCCTCACTGCAACTTTGGCTGTTTTGATTGCAATTTGTTCCTCTGTTGGTAGAGATTTCTTTTTGTGAAGCATAATGCTACTGTATAAACAATAAACAACAGAAGAACTCAAAATTGATCACTGCATTTAAGTACTGCATTAATATTTAAGCTTACCTTTTAAAAGTTCAATGATAATTCTTCTGCCACCACTTAATTAAAGACAATGATGTGTGTATGTCCTTACTTTCCATACAAACAATTATTTTTATTTCATGGGTGACTTTTGCTGGATTTAGCAATTAATTTCAGTTATTCCCAAATTTATTTCCAAGTTATAATTGATATTGTCCAAAAAAATTTGTCGCAAAAAATCATGAAAAGGAAAAGAAAAAAAAATTGCCAAAAATAATTGGAGTAATGAAAATTGGGAATCCAAAATTTCTATAACATGAGCTATTGAAAATTAAAGAATTGTGTCCCTTTAATTAAAAGTGTGACACAGTGACACACTGCCATTCGCTATATATATATATATATATATATATATATATATATATATATATATATATAGTGCAAATTTTAATGTTTTATTTCAAATTGACCAATCATTATTTATTTGTAACACATTAAATGTATATAAGCTGGGGTTTGTTTTGACAACTCATTCTCTGGAAAATATGTCAAAGCTTAGTTTAGACTGTCAACTGGATCTTGTGAAACTATATTGTGCCAATCATGAGACTGCAGCAGCAATGATAAGAGCTTATAAAACAAGCAACAATTTAAAACAGGAACCTTTTGCTCTATCAACAATTACTTGTCTAGAAAAATTTGAAATCACAAAGACACTGCATGATATTCCTTCATATGAGAGACATTCCTTAGAAGCTGAGTACACACTTCAAGTTGTGGATAGTCTGTCAATAATTTGATCAAACATGCAACATTGGTTATACAACAAAATTGAGGAACAATTGAAAATTTGTTGTAATTTCATACCCATTTGTTTCAAAATATATGTTGTTTTCACAATTGCTTACTTTGCATTATAATGATTTTAAAATTTGTGTTCATTTATTTTCATCCTCTGTGTGTGTGTGTATATATATATATATATATATATATATATATATATATAACACTTAAGGGAGGTGCAAAAACATTCTCAGTCAGACTTACCACTTCCAAATCTGACCAAACAGAATTCTTTTATAGGAGGAAGGGGTTCTTGAACTGAGTGAGAACTTATGAGCATTTCCTCATATATCATGAATATGAGTCCCATAATCTATTACAAATATAAGTGTAGTGACATGTACTGCAGCCATGGCAGCAGTAGGTGTTTGTAGGGCATGATAGCCTGGTGGAGCCCATCCTTCTTTCAAAAGAATTCAGAGTTTTCTTTCTCCTAGGCTTGTTGCCTGACCAAAACCTAAAGAGCCAAGTTTGCTCTGTTATTTAACCCATTCCTGGAAAAAGATAGGTCCATGCCTTTTCCAAATGCATTAGTATGAAGTGAATAAATGAGATTCAGTTAAGATTCCACTTTCTTTACCAATAACTGTTGCACTAGCTGCACATCCACTACACGTGAAACAAAATGCTAATGAACCAATTAAATGCTTCGATTAGATTTAGGTGTCATAGCTCATTTGGTAAAAGTATTGTTCTTAAACTAGCTTAATATGATCTTGAGCTAAAGAGTGACAAATGAGCATTTTCCCCTTCAACATCTATGTGCTAAATTATATATAGGGTCAAAAGATTTCTATTGATACTACGTCAGGAAGTTAGGAGAAAGGAGTTAGCCTGAGTTAGAGCTTTCCAAATAGTTTGTAGTTTGTTTTTTTTTTGTTTTTTTTACAGTAAGACTCACTCTGTATGTGACCTGGAAGCCACTCAAGGTAGAGGGTTACATTAAAAGTCAGTTTATGCAGATATGAGAGGAAGATAATGATTAACCCTAGACTTAAACAGGCTAAGATTGTAGCAGTCATGGAAACATTCTCTTGGATGTTGGTTCACAGAACAATGGTTCATGGAAAGAAGCTGTTTGAGTGAAATTTACTTCTCATCAGTGGAATACAAAAGGAATGTGTGCAGTTTCTTACAATGTGAATGGCCTTGTGGATCCTAGCTGTGAAGATTCTAACTGGCAGAACCAAGGAATGAAGTTCATTTGAGCACTTTCTATAGAAGTAGTGATAGAACAGTGAGAGGCTTGCCTGTGAGAGAGAGGTTGGAGAGTGGAAAATAATATCATCCACAAGGACTGAGAGACACTTTTGAACTCTATCGAGACTGGAGGGTGAGGTCTGGGCAGCTCTTGCCCAAATATGACAACAGTACACAATTTTAGGCCTGATCTGGCTCTTGTAAGGTAGAGGATAGCATGCAGAGTCAGGTACTTACTGGAGTGGTACAGGGAGCTGACCATTTTTTCTGCATCTTTTGCAATGGATCATATGAGTTCCATTTGAGGTCAGGTGTGAGTTTAAAGTCCAATAGTCTCTCAAGGCATAGTGCCTTCCTGAGAGGACATCCATTCATTGAGACTGGTGGTAGTTCAGTGTCATATAGGCAACAATGGAATGTAACTGGTTTGGTTTTTGAGGCATTGAATGTAATCAGTTTTTCTCCACAGAGAAGTTAGTGCTAGATTGGATAAGAGATCAGCTGTCAATATCAGATTATCAAGAGTTTTAGAGGTGCATTCATATATCATCATATCATTGGCATAGATGTTCACAAATGATCTGAGTATATTCTTAGGAAGATCATTTATGTAAAGCAAAAAGAAGGTTAGTCTGAGAAGTGACCCCTGGGGGATATCAGTGTTGATTACTAGGGTCCTAAAGTATTGGCTATTAATAAATACCTTCAGGGACTTACCTGTTAGGAAGGACTTTATAATTGAGACTTGAGCAGCAAACCTTTATCTGAAATATCTAATGTTATGGACCTTGAGGTGTGTTTCTGTGATTAATGGTAATTAGGACATCAGCAGTAGATTGCATTGATCAAAACCTGTACTGCTCATTGCTCAAGAGTTTGTTCTTATCTATGTGGTCAATTTTTGGGACACATTAATTTTAGTTAACCAAGTCAAATATATATATATATATATATATATATATATATATATATAAAAGAAATAATCTAATTAAAAATTTAATAATTAAAGAAAGAACAGGTAATTAATTATACTAAAATATCATGACACACCGGTGTGCTTAGTCAGCCACATTTTTTTCTATCAACCATTTTGTTGCATCCTATTGACAAGATATTTTATGATAGATTACAGGGAGAAATGGATTAATGTTTTTGTACTTGTGTCCACTTGATACGATTAAGTATATTGATCCAAACAGGTACGATTATTTCTATATATGTGTGATATGACAGTGATATTATTTTTGTTCTTAAATTTGAATTATATCTCTGCAGTTGGAACATTTTAAATACATTATTAAAAATATAAATCAGCTACAGCAATTTTTTTTTATATTGTAATCTTATGATGTTAATTTGTGAGTAAAAAAAGCATTTTACCTGATTGAGAAAACATAACAGCATGTCTGTAGATGTCAGCAGAGAACAATAAGAAACCAGGCAATGGAAGAGCATGCTGTAGAAGGTAGAAAATATTGTTGATAAAGACAAATAAATGGGTTTCAAATATTATTTAAAGTAGTTTATCCAGGGTGTGAAAAAATGATGACAGCATATTTTGTTAAGTTCTTGCTTTTATTATTAGGCTTTCACAGGAATTTTTAAATAGATAAATATATAAATAAATAACCAATGCAAAAATAACTATATATAAATAAATTGACAGTGCTAGGATGATAATTCTAGTATAGTAAAAAAAGTCACTGACAAAAAAAGTAAAAGAAAATGAAATAAAATATTGTATTATATCATAAGACACTAAAATATTTACTAAAAAGTTTAAAATATTAAAAATTAGATTAATATTAAATAAGATATTTTTAAACTACTAGTAATTATTTTTTTAATTTTATGACATTTATATTTTGTAAGAATCAGTTTTCATGCTATTCACATGTTAAAGTTCCTTTACACCAAATAATACTGATTAGCATCTTTGATTAAAAACTAAGTCTTATGCTTTAGCCTGTGTTACTTGAAATATTTGCCAATTTTAACTTTTAAATAAGAGAAAGAGATCATTTATTCAGTAGTAGATATTAATTTATACATTCAGCCATCAAACATAATTTAAAATATTTTTAAAATAGTGTTTATTCTTATAAAGAGGTCTGTTTTAACATTTTAATATTATTCTATATACATGTGAAAGTATGAGCAATACCCTGCCCTCATCAGCCAACAACCAAGGGAAGTAACAAAGTTTCATGGTTAAGGTGGTACTGCCACTCCTGACGCCATCAACAGCTTTTGACATCGGACAGAGTATTGTTTTTTGTGTAGATGTGTCAGTCTCTGCGATTAACCAACTTTAAAAAGTAATTTTTGCAATCTAAATCAATTGATTTAGATAACATAGTATGCACTTTAGTCATTAAACAAAATTATATGTGCATCTACAGTGTTCTATTACTTCTATTATCACTTTGAAACTTTGATAGGTATTCAGAAATGTATTTTTTCTTACTTATCTTAATTGTTCTGAATTATTTCCTAATTTGCTATATTCATCTTTGTTTACAAATCATTAAAAAGAAAAACATTCTCTATATTAACCCTATATCTATATTAATATTATTATGTATACAGCATATTTTAAAAAAGTGATTTGAGGCATCTTAATTCTGACAAGTAATTACATTTTTTAAACATCAAGTGCATATACTCACATTATAGAATAATGCTTCTGATGGATGTTTTCCAAATCTTGAATAAATAGTTTCTTGGAAGATTCCCATTCTAGCTGACATAAATAGAGCAAACAGTAACATTGCAATGCCTGGAAAAAAAAAATGAAGGATTTTTTTTATGCAGAAATGATAAATCTTAAATTTATAATAATGCATTGTTATTTTCAAGATAAAAATGACTAAACTTAATGAACAAAATTGCAATAAGCATTAATTTTATTTTATTGTTTTTTGTCAAGACTTTTTGTATGTAAGACTATCAAAATCACTTTCCATGTTTTTCTCAGTCTGAAGTCTCAGTCTAAGTTTTTGTATTGTTCAGATCAACAATACAAAAGTGTAGTAGATTGTATTTAAGATGTAATGCCTTTGACAATCCTGTCAGAGGTAAAAAGCAATATTTTTAAATTATGAAGTTTCTATCTTGTGTACATTCATCAGGATATACATTTAATTAGGTCAAGATTCTTTAGGTTGATTCAAATCAGATTTTTTTTAAAAATGCATTCACTTAAACAGGAATATTTTAAGTTGATTTTAGTGTTTAATATACTTTAGCTTTTGACCTTGTAAAAAATATGTATTTAAATTCATTAGGATAATGTTGGGAAAAAAGACTTGATTTTTTTGTTTCTTTATATTTCATTTTATTTGAATCCAGTTAAATTTGAGAAGAAATGCCTGTTACTATAATGAATTAACGAGTTAACAGTAGGTAACCAATCAATTTCTTCTGCTGTACTTTGAATTTTATTTCATCTGGATATGTCTCAAACCATGTTAGTGTCATAAGTAAAGCATCTATTGATCTATCTACCTATGCATATATTTCTAAAACTAAAGCTTTCTAGAATTCCTAATTTAAAACTTTTTGAATAATGGAATGATCATGTATTATGTTAAACTGAGATGGATCCTGACATTGAAAATAGATATTTTTTGAATGTAGGGCTTTAAAACTTTACTTGTACTGTCAAAAAATGACAGATATTTAAGTAATTTTGCAACTGCTTTGGTTGTATTTCCCAATGATTTTTATCTAGATAAACTATTGTCACATGTAAAGAAGAACTGTTTTTTTTAAAGTAAAAAATATCCAAAGCAAGTTAATATGAAACAATAGAAATAAACAATGTGTCAGCAGTGCCTGACCTCCCCTGTTTAATAAGGAAATATTTTCTTGTAATATGAGGCATGTTCATTTGGTGTCAAGTAATGTTTTCTGCTGTCATAACGTTTGACTATGTCATTAATAAGCAGGAAAAATGTAGCTATATGACTGATAAAAATATAAATTCACATTGTGTTTTATAGAATAACTTATAGGAAAATATTCAATATACTTCTTTTTCTATTAAAACCAAACTAATATTTATTATAAACAATTTAGTTATTTGCTTAAAAACCATTTGGTTGCATTAAATTTATATTCTAATATATATAGGTGTGTGTGTGTGTGTGTGTTTATATATATATATATATATATATATATATATATATATATTTATATATATATAACAGTGTGCATTTTGTAGTAGTTTTCTTCATCAAATATTAAATACTCACCTATTAACCATATGAAGTATTCATAGACTTTATTCTCTGTTTTTTTCTCAGCACCACTTTTCTAACAGAAGAAAATTACTTTTTTATAAAAAGCTTTTCTCCTAAAAGTATTTACATGAACAAAACTTATATAAAACGTATAAAGGGAGATTTTACATTACATTATAAAAATTACACAATGAATTAAAGAATTTCTTTTTGACATATATATATGTTTAATGAAAAGAAAAAGGTGAATTAGGTTGGCACCAAAATGACAATATTTTAAAATTTATTTTTTAAAAGTCATACATTTAAAAATGACTCAAGAAAGAAAAAAATTTGAAAGAGAATTAGATAAAGAATTAATGAAAAAAAAAAAAATATGAACAAAAATGTTCATGTTTAAAGAAAAAACTACAGTGCTAAAGAATGCAATACATTTATCAAGTCCCATAACACATTAGAGTTTTAAGGGCACCACATGTACTACAGTCATTGTAGCAGTGGTGTGTCTTAGGATAGATAGACTGATGGACCCTGACCCTCTCCGGGCTGGGTTGAATTCTTTGAATTCAGTATTTTCTTTCTCCTAGACTGGTTGCCAATCAAGGCTATAGGGCCTAGTCTCTCGTGCTATTTACCCATAGCTTGGGGTGGGGTTGGGGATTATGATTGAAAATGATAACTGAAGAGACTTACCACATCACTTGAAGATGCTATGGTACACAACACAATACCTATACTTATCATCAACACTGATAAATACTTGCTTGTTTTATATCTGAAATTTAATGAAATTGACAAAAAAGATTTAATTAAAACTGATATAACACTGATATACAATACAAAAAAAAAAATGATCAATTTTCATATACTTAATTCAAATATAAGCTCTTAAGTAGGCATCGGAGGGAGTCAGTGATGTAAATTGACTTGGTTCATCAGGGAGTTTTGGGTCTTTCAACATCATACACCCCATCACCAAGGTGACCCAATCAGAGGAGATCAATCCCTGAATCCCCCTCGCAATCAAACGTTAACAGCTACTCTGAACTTTTTAATGAATTAAAAAAAATAAACCATGTATTCCACACACCCAATTGAATGTTTGTAACAATGAATCTACTGCACGAACTGTCTTTTAAATGGTCTGGGGTGGGAGTGGGGGGTTCGATTGGCTTCTTTTTTTTTTGGTGGATAGCAGTTTCAATGGATAACTGAGGAGGTAATTTAACGTTCTTAAATTTAACCCTTTTTGTCATTTCCTAGGTATGGTTTCATGCCTTACTCTAAATATTTATGGTTTTGTTTTTATTTGTAGTTGGGTGGGGGAGACTTAAACTCAACCCTACTGTTACATTTTTATCATTTAACCTAGTACTTAACATTAATACAGGTCAACTAACTTCTAAATGGATGTATTCTCAACTTTCCAATGATTGTCCATAAACATGCTGAGTGTACACAAATAATGTAAAAGATAAGATATTCATTAAAATTGATTAAAAAAAAAATACTCTATCTCGTTGTCTCGTAAGTTGCATGCAAATTGTGGTCGGTCCTCGGCTGTATAAAGCAGGTGTGTTTTTGTTTCTGATCACTGGGTTTTTTGCTCATGAGAAGGTTGGACGTGTGACACTGTTTTTGTCGGTTACCCTCCTCGCAGTTTTTTTTTCCCTATCTGCTACTATCAGTTGAGTCGTTGTGTTACCACCACAAGCTATTTCGGCAATGGACAAGTTCGATCTAAAATTGATCCCAGAATTCAACGGCTCCCCCACTGGCCCGACTGTCGTCGAATGGTTTGAGAAGGCCGAACATGTTTGCAGGGTGTCCAAAATAAAAGAACCTGCACTGGTCATCCCACTGAGACTCATGAGGGGAGCCTATGCTGTATATCAACAACTCGGGGACGATGCTGACCTAGAAGAGATCAAGAGTGCCCTATATACGGCCTTTGGAATAGACCCCTTCATCGCTTGGAAACAGTTCGTCGAATGATGGCTCGAGCCGGGTGAGACGGTGGATGTCTACCTGGCTGATTTGCGAAGGTTGGCGGTGCCGTTTGGCGGAGCAACAGACCGCATAATGGGATGCGCCTTCCTGGCAGGACTTCCCGATGACACCAGTCGGCTCCTGCGAGCATCTTCAAGATTGGACACACTGGGAATTGACGAATTGCTGGCCAGGGTCCAAAACATCTTGAAAGACACGGAACAGGTCGCGGCAGCAATGAGAACGCCCGAGACACTGCAGGAGGGCCCAAAGTGCTACAAGTGCTGTGGACCCAACCATTTCTCTAGAGACTGCCGGAGCCGAAGTGATGTAGGAGGCGGGAGCAGATGATGGACATGAGCACGACTACGCTGCTATCGCTGCAACAGGTCCGGTCAGTAAATGCGGCATTGCCTGTTGTCAATGTGTGCGTTTAGGGTAAACGATGTTCGGCGCTCGTCGACACTGGATGTTCCGGATCGATCGTTAGTGCGGATCGATGCATGACATGGAGCAGTCAACAAATCGAGATTCGGACGATTGACGGAGTGTCCCGGGCCTGTTGTGGTGTCGGGACTGTATCAATCCTCACAGACTGAGGGAATCATGCCAAGGTCGACGTTTTGGTGGCATGTCAAAGGCCCCTCAGTTACGACCTGCTGCTTGGGATCGATGCGATCCGAGCATTAGGAGGCATGATAATCACGCCAGCCGGAAATGTGGAACTGGGTAAAGGAAGAAAGGTGTGTGCAGCCCTTTGCATTAGTGAGCCGGATTTCGACGTCTCTTTCAATTCCGACGAGAGGGTGTGGATTGTGAACGGCTGGTTGATTCCGTACCCCCAGGAAAGACTGGGACCCCAAAGGGTCTGATTCCCTTGATGGCAGTCGTGCAGGAGCAGAAACAGAAGGTGCGTCCGGTACTCGATTACCATGAATTGAACGACTTTGTGGATGCTTTTACTGCCAATGCATAAGCTGAGAACGTGGCAGCAGCAGGGAGTCAATGTGTCGCTTCTGGATCTGTGAAATGCATATCTTCAGATTCACATCAACGAAGTGCTGTGGCCATTTCAAACAGTTATTTTCAAAGGCCACGCTTCTGTCTTACGCGGCTAGGATTTGGGCTAAATGTGGCGCCACTCATTATGAAATCCATTACAGATGCCATCACATCACAAGACCGCACAATTGAAAGTGCCACATCAGCATGCGTTGATGATATTTTCATTAATGAAAGTTTGGTCTCTGCATCGCAGGTACGACAACACTTTTCAGATTACGGTTTGGTGTGCAAGGATCCGGGCGACTGAGAGATGGAGCAAGAGTTCTTGGCTTGCAAGTTTGGGAAGAGAATGGCACCCTCCGATGGAAATGAGGGAAGTCAGATTCCGAAGTCCCTGATGTGTTGACCCGTCATGCCAGTATTTTTTGTTGTGTGGAAACTTGTTGGTCATTTCCCCGTGTGGATAGCTCAGGGTGGCAGTTGCATTCGTCAAGCACCTGGCAACCACAGCAACCAATGGATGTGAAAACATCCAACAAACAGTTCGTCGGACGACGGCTTGAGCCAGGTAAGACAGTGGATATCTACCTGTCCGATTTGCGAAGGCTGGCGGTGCCGTTTGGCGGAGCAACGGGCCGCAGTTTGTTTTTTTTTTTTCCCTATCTGCTACTATCAGTTGAGTCATTGTGTTACCACCACAAACTAAAGATAGAAGTGACTTTATAAATATGAAATAAATCTTTTAAAACAATTGAAATATTAGTGATACTTAATAAAATTACCAAATTAAAACATAGTAAAAATATTAAAATAAATTGTCATGAGAAAGCAATTATAAAATGCTACAGAGGCCAATCAGTAATAGTCATTCAAATCTAGTCATATCTCTTTATTTATTATTTCTCTCTCCACTAACTGGAAAGGAGTGTTTATAGAAAATAAGGGATGTAACTTAGATGGTTATTTTTTTTTTTTATTTCTAATCCATATTGCTTATCAATGATCGTGAAATAATGATTGAGAAGTTGTGAGAAAAAGTGACTGAAATTGAGATAAAAGAAATACTATTAAAAAATTAATAATAATCATCTCATTTAAAAAGTATCGAATATTATTACATTTAATTTATTGATTTATCTAATTGTTTAATTTGATATATATTTGAGAAAAAGTAGAAACAATGTGATCTTTGTGAAAACTTGTAATTTTTATTATTGCTTTACTATAAACAAATAGATACAAGGGAAATAATTAAGATTAGCAAAAAATGTTTCTAAAAGAGTAGCTTCCCTTATTTTGGAATGTTTACAATTTCTGGAAGATTTGATTATTTTTTAATAATATAATGTGACTCACTTCTATATAATCTTGTTTTAAGATAACAAATTTTAATTAAGATTAATAAGTCATGTAGAATTTAAAACTGATATGCAGCTTGCATTTAACTATATGGGTGCATGTGTAGTACTTTTCTATGTCATCAGAAAAGTCTACTCATAATCATTGTCCATCTACATAGGATGGATTCTTCTGGTGATGTAATAGAAATAGAATTTTCTTCTATTTTAAATTTGACAACAAAAACTCCATAATTTACCTTTTTCTTAATTTTTGTTCTTTTGTTTTCTCCTTATATTCTCTCATACTCAGAAACCCTGGCGTCTTAGTGGCTTCATTGCCTTACTTGGGGTGAAATGATTAAAAAATATTCAGGAAGTATTGAATATAAGCTAGAAAATGCAGAGCAACAAAGTTTATGGTATTCCATAAATACAATGCAATTGTAAAATTACTTTGTTCATGCAGTCAAAATATAACAACAATATTTAACTTACAATTAAAATAAAATATTTAGACAACAGTTTTTTTTTAGAAATATGAATAGAAAAATATTTTTAAAATGACTTACGATCGCTTTAAGATTATGATTCCAAGAATTAAATTTGCTATGAGTGATCCCTGTCGAGAAAAAAGATAAAAATAAATCAAACCTATTAGCCAACATTGGAAATCAAATTTATCAATGGATGAAAAATTTTAAAATTGAAGTGAACTTTACAGTAAACCATTGATACCTACTGAAGTAGATAATAAGTTGGTATTTTTCATAAATGCTACATGAAAGAAACTGTTCCATTTAATTTGAACTTTGCAGTGTCTTATATTTTCATACATCTTTATGATTTAGTAAGGTGATCCTATATCTATTCATTTATATGTTTCTTAATTAATAAGCATATGAATTGTCTATTTCAGATCAAGTAAACAGTTACATGCAAATGAATAAAGATTAATTAAAAGATTGTGGAAATATCAAAGTATTCAGATAATCCCCAACTAATATATATCAGCAGTTTATTGTTTATTTGATAATTTGAGAACAAATAAGACATGTGAATAAATTTAATGCAATGAGCCCTCATGTGTATGTGCAGGCAAGAAACAAAAATTGTTCAATTCCTTTGGCATTTAGAATGCTTCAGCATCAGGGAATAACTCTGACCCTACCCCTTTAAGTTCAATGAGGAAATGCTGATTGGAGACAGCCACCTGGGACAAGACATTTGTTTCTTTTTGGTTTTCAATTTTGCTAAAAGGTTATGAAACTATTTATCTGAGAAGTGTACATTCTTAAATCCATTTACTGAATACAAAGTACTATATTTATATTAGTATATAAATAAATGTCAACTACACTGTTATATTTTATTATATAAGGCAATATTTTTATGATAAAATTGATATTACTCAATCTAATATTGGTAAAATTCTTAGGATTTACTTATATCTATATAAGCAATAAAATCATCTGAATTTCAGTTTATAATATCTATCCTAGTTACTCTTACCGATTACTTATTTTGTGTATGCCAGGTTTTATTATACAAACAAACAAAATGCAACCCAAATTTTCATTTATAAATTAACTCAAAAGATTGACCATAGAAACATATTAAGCTTAACACAATATCTTTTTAGTGTTTCATTTCCAAGATGAGTAATTGGCAATATTCTTATATTATTTCAATTTATTGTTCTCATCTTGGTTGATATAGATGTTATTATAGTCACAATGTTTAACCAATAACTGATAGCACAGTGACAAAATATCACAATAATCAATATATCTCATATCAGCCAATCAATGGGTACCTGATGATGCCCAGAGGGTAATTGGTTGAAATGTGTCTATAATAACATCTATGCTAATTAAAATAATAATAGTTCAAATTAATACAAGAAGAACACAATATCTTATATAATTGAATAAATTATTATTCATTATAATATGAGCTCCATGATATTCAAATAGTTTCAGCTTTTCTCCTATTGATTTTATTAAATCTCTACTGTTTGGGATTTTAACATTACTAACAGCTGTTTTTATTGCTTCTCAAGAAACAAACAAACATATATATATAAAAACTTTTAGAATGTATAGGTGAAAAGGGGATTTCAATAATTGATCTCTCTTTATCAGCTTGTCTCATGTTGGTTGTTTTAGGTGATTTCTCTCTCAACCAGGCCACACATCTGGTTACCTATGGCCACTCCAGGGCTAGTAATTAATTTTTCATTATCACTTGTATCCAAAAGAATCTAAAATAATGTCAGCCATAACAACTTTGATGAATGTCACAGAAATTAAAATGAATGAACCCATCCCCAATCTTAGGGGATAATCTCTATTTTTGTAGGGATATTTTTCTTCTAGGTGGCCAATTCAAATCAGATGTTTTTCCTGGCTCTTTGTCCAGAACAGTTTTAGATGTTATTTTGGTGACCACCCATGTTCTTTATTGACAACATATATTTTTCTATTTTCCAGGATTTTTTTATTGGTGGGAAGTAGGGGAGGACGGGTAGTCTTGGTTTTGCTCAATCTTACTGAATTCTATCTAGTTAAATTTGGCTTCAATTCTTCTTGGAACTGTTTGAGATTTCATTTCATTACTCTGAAAGATAATTTTTCAACATATTTCATTTTTAATTATCTTCAACTTTTCAATCCACTTTCCTGCAAATTTTAACAATTAAGTAGTCTCTTTTCTCTTTCTTTTTCCCTTTTCTTTTTTTTTAACTAACTTCTTGAGGTTCCAGTGTCACACTATAAGCTGAAATTCACATGGTAATTTATAAGTATAACTAAAAATTGTGTCAATATTGGTTGGTTAATACATATTTTATTGTGAAAACTTGCTTCCATAATAAAATCTGACAGCATAAGTTATTTATCAATAGGATTTGAAACCAAAAACACAGAATGCACCTAACCTATATATATATATATATATATATATATATATCTCTCAAGTAAATCTTATCTAAATAATCTTCATGGGGTCTATTTTGTATAAGCAAATATGAATTTCTAAAGTTGTAAGGAGATAAAATCAGTTTGTATTATTTCATTTAATAGATTTTTATTAAATAGAGAATTTTGTTTAAAAAAAATAAGAAAGACAGTAATATTAGATAAAAAAGAAATTAATCTTGTGTGTTACTAAACAAGATATCCATGTATATATCTATTAGTGGTATTAATGATGAAAATTCTTTGGCCCAACCAAGATTCTTATCTCTCGACCCATCCCAAAAACCCTGATATTTTAGGATGTGCATTGGGCCTAGCACTTTTCGGCACCACCTTTATATAATTATTTATTTAAAAATATGATTCCATCGCTACATTTTTTGCAAAATATGATTCCATCGCTACATTTTTTGCAAAAAAATTTGTCCTCATTCATAATGGGGACCAATGGATTAAAAACAATAATGACCATTTTGACATCACTATGGGATCTTTAGACTCTGCAGAGTCTTCTGACCTTGTTGGTCTTTTAATACTGTACAACCTGACCACGCACCGTGAATTAGATATTAAGGACATCGGGCTGTATAGAGATGACGGGCTCATGGTAGTAAGGAGTTCCACTAATTTTAAAATAGAGAAAGATTATATATAGTGAATTCAGAAATCTAAATTTAAAAACAACAGTCTGTACTAAATTAAAAAGAGTAAACTTCCTCGATGTAACTCTAGATTTAACAAACAACATATACCTACCTTATAGAAAACCTAATACTAACCCCTTGTATATACACCCTATGTCAAACCACCCTCCATGCATAATTAAGCATATACCCTCATCAATAGAGAATAGAATCAGCATTAACTCTGCTAATAAAGAAATATTCCAACAACACAGTAATTTTTATAATGCAGCCCTAAAAAATAGTGGATACAAAAATGCTAACATCAATTATAGAAACACTTGTACTAACCAGAAGAAAAACAGGAAAAAAAAATCATTTGGTATACCCCTCCATTCAACCAAATGGTTAGTATTAAGCTAGGACAGAAATTCCTAGCTTTAATTGAAAAACACTTTCCTACTAATAGTAGACTTAGTAAAATATTTAATAAAAACACCCTAAAATTAAGTTACAGTTGCACTGAAAACCTAGAAAGTATAATAAAAAAACACAATAATAAAATCCTGAATAAACCCCCATGCCAGAATAGTATTAATAAAAACCCTACACTTAAATTAGACAAAAATAGTGAAAAATTATGTGATTAGAGAAACCCAGAAGACTGCCCATTGAAAAATTAATGCCACATAAAATCTGTGGTATACCAATGTACTATTTCATCCATTGAGACTCCTAATACTAATATGATATACATTGGGTCCACGAAGAATGAATTTAAAACCAGATGGAAGTAGCATAAGTGCTCCTTCAACAATATTAATAAAAGAAATCAGACATCTCTTTCTAAATATTTTTGGCATTTGAAGGAAATGAATAAAACACCAAAAGTAAAATGGAAAATTATAAACAAAACTAGAACTTGTAAAACTTGGGATGACCCATGCCCTTTGTGCCTACATGAAAAACTACACATTATCAAATTTCTAAATAATAAAAATTTATTAAACAATAGACATGAGTTAACGTTTTTTTGCTGACATCATCAAATTTTTGCATTGAATAATTAGCATAAAAAACAAACAAACAATAAAATAATAAATACAAATTTTAAACTCCATAGTCTAAATAAAAAGTTTAAATATCCTACCCAATAAAAAAAAAAAAAACCCTTTATGAAGTCATCAAAAAAAAACAAATGTTAGTGAATTATGATAGTTTTTTTTATATACACAAACCCTTTCAGGAAAAAAATAAAAAATAAAATAAAAAATAAATAAATCTCCATAGACACTTAACCAGACTAGACGATGTCATCTTCCGCTTTAAATTTAGACACCCGAACCTTACCCTGACTTGACCTCTTTGAATGTAACTGAGATATTGATACAAATTATTAACCCTTACGCCCCTTTTTTTAAATAATTGCTCTAGCCGTTACCATAGTAATTTTAATTTCAATAATGAATATGCTTATAAAACGCGTAAATTTCAAGAATTAGTTATTCCAAAAAAAATTTCGCTTGAAGATGGAAAAGAGCTTGGTACTTTAATTCAATTTAATTCAAATAATTATATTGAAGTTTTCGGCTCTTGTTTTGAAACATGAGAACTCTTATGTAGTGATGAAATCATATTTTTAAATAAATAATTATATTTATGCTCTACTTTTGTATCGAGCACTATTTTTTAAAAATAATAACAAAAATACTAAAGAACTTTGGATTATTTACCTAACGAGTTCTTTCCTATTTTCTATATATTTTTACACACAACACACACATATATATATTAGTCCTCATTACCAATACTGGCAACCTTTCATTTTTTTTTTATTATATCTTCAGAAATAAGTGAAAAAGAACCAAATTTATATCATCAGAAACTTTTAATTGGTCAATTAAAGTAATTCAACCAAAAACATTTAAGAATTTACACATTGTAATTTCAAAGAGGAAAAAAGAAAAAATGACATGTACAATAATAAACACACCCTTCCTTAATATTTGGTTGAACCCCTTTGGCAGCAATGACTGCCTTCAAATGTTTCTGGTAACCATCTATAAGCTTCTTGTGCTTCTCAGCTAGTATTTTCTTCCACTCTTCATTTGCAATTTATTAAAGCTTTTGAATGCTTGCAGGTGTCAGCTGACACCATAGATTTCCAGTAGGATTGAGATCAGATTACTGGTTAGTTTAAAACAGTCCATTTCTTCCTTTTCAACAATTCATTTGTACTTTTGGATGTATGCCTTGGGTCATTATCCTGCTGGAAAACTCATGATATTTGACAAGCCTAGTTTTCTTATACTGGGTAGCACATTTTACTCTAAAATCTCTTGGTAATCTTCAGATTTCATGATTTCTGTGATACGGTGACCAAGGCCTCCAGTACCAGATGCAGCAAGGCAGCCCCTACAACATTATGGATCCTCCACCATGATTAGTAGAGTGTTCTTTCCCTTATAAGCTTCATTGCTAGCTGAAAACATATTGTTGATGTGCATTACCAAAAAGCTCTATTTTTGTTTCATCTGTCTACAACATTTTTCTAGGACGATTGTAGTTTGTCCAGGTACACTTTGGCAAAGTGTAGTTATTCCTTTTTATACCTTTCCTTCAGTAATGGTGTTTTTCTTAGTCTTCACCCATAAAACACTGCTTGATTTAGTGTGTGCCATATGGTATGTGATGAAAAAATTACTTCAGATTGTTTCAGGTTGTTTTTTTCCAGTTTGCACCAACCTTTGAAGACTTCTCTATCAATTTTTTTCTTCTTTCCACCTCCAGGGAGGTTCTTGATAGTTCCATGCTTAGCAAACTTAATAACATTGTACACTGAAACAAGGATATTGAGATCCCTGGAGATGACCTTATGCCCTTTAGAGGTCTTCTGCTTACTAATAATAAAATATCTATGTTCTCCGGTAGTTCATTTGATTTCACAATTGTGACAAAAAGACAGGGAATAACATGTGGTCTTATAAAACACTGAAGTCACCATTCATTGACTAATTTCTGTCATGTGGGCACTGATAGTTCATTGTGAGTTAGTCTAATTTCTGATTTATCACAGAGTATAATTTTTTGTATCATGCTTATGTATTAGGGTGTTCTCAGAGTATAATTTTTTGTATCATGCTTATGTATTAGGGTGTTGTTAGGAGTTTTTGTTTGTCTGGTTTATGTTTAGTGTGTGAAGTGTCCATAATTTCTATGCTCTCTGGTCTGTTAGCACTTTGTTTCTTGTCATGTTTTGTTCTGTGGAGGTCATTTGTTTCTTGCTTGTCTGTTCAGCTGTGTTTGAATTATTTTGCCATTAGGTTCTTTTGGTGATCTTTTTCTGGATGATGACTGTTTCCTGGTTTGAGGTGAGATACAGTTTTGTTCATTTATGTTTATTTCTCTTGGTTCTTTAGTGATTTATACTGGGTTGTGTTATTTCTTTTATGAACCTTTTGTTTCTCTTGTGAATGTTTGAAGGGTTCTATTTATTGCTACTTTGGATTGGGGTTTTCAGAGTTATTTGTTTTGTACTTACAGATTCTTTTTTGTTTGAGGTTGACAGGATAGGATTTGTTTTGACTATGGGTGTTTGGTTTATGTGTGGTATACTAAATTTTAGTAGTATTATTAGCTTTTTTAAAATTCATTTATTAGACTTGTGAGCTCTTGGCTTCTTATTGTGTTCTCTTGTATGTCATTTTGGTGATTTGTTATTTTAGTAATATTTGTGTATGATGTCGGAAGTGAGTTAGTTTTGACCCATTTTCTAGCTTCTTGGAACAAGATGTTTTGTGTATATTTTATTCTTATCATTTGCTTTTCCTTTTTCCAAATGTTACACTCTTTAGAGTCTGCTGAGTGGTTTAGTTTGGGTATTAAGGAGGCCTTTCACAGAGTACTGTACTGTACTGTACTGATGCGGCATTCACCCTGGGCGGATTGAGCCGGCTTCTTCCTGTTATGAGAAGAAGATTCTTGGGATAAATTACAGAAGTAGGGTACCCAGGCCTACTTGGATAACGTTCTTGCTTGCCGCGGGGTTCCCACTGATGCAGAGACAGGAACGACCAGAAGCCGCCGGTTACCGATGCAGACGCTCCTTGGATTTTCACCAGAGCCCTTGTTAGCCAGCGTGTGTGTGTCAGACCTGTCCGCCTTGGGTGGCCCTACCAGGAACGAAGTTCCGGGCGGCATAGCTCTGACACTACCGTTTACACACCCCCACCCCACCCCCACCGACTGTGTGGTAAGGGTTGGACTTTGGGGGCTTACAGTTAAATCACGCTGAAACACCGGTTCTCGTTCGATCACCGAAGTTAAGCATCGTAGAGCCAGGTCAGTACTTAGATGGGGGACCGCTTGGGAACACCTGGTACTGTAAGCCCCCAAAGTCCAACCCCCCTTTCACAGAGTGACACTTCATGATCAATCACAAATTTCCCACGTCTTTGACAAACTCGTACTCTTGTACATTGATCTTGTAGATGGCCAAATTTCTGACATTTGTGACATTTATAGGAATTAGAGATGTATGGCTATCTTGGATATTGTGTATGCTATTTTCATTTCTTTTGGTAGGGGAGGTTTGTTGAATGTCAGAATGTATGTGTTTATGTTTATTGATGTGCCATTTCTTTTTATTTGTATTCTTTTGACATCTGTTACGCCTTGTTTTTTAAGGTGTTATTATTTTTAATTTCTTCCAGTGAGCAGAGTGACAGTTCTGGGCATTTTATTACTACTTCCTTAGAGGAGTTAAGAAATTGGTGAGGATAAGCCTTTATTTTCATGTCACTTATTTGATTGATTTTTAGTATGTTTTGTGTCTTTTTTGGTTTTTACTTGAATTAGAAGTGTATTATTTTTTCTTTATTTTTTTTTTTACTGACTTTGGTTCTGTTATGGCTGATATAACCCTTTGTAACACATTTGTTATTTTCACCCTCTAATGATTCTGTGACTATGAAGATTGGATCATTTATAAGAATTAGTCATATAATTTTGTTTTTGTATTTATCGTCTGTGCTCATCATCTGCTTTGAATTTCCTTCTTAAGGGACATTATCAAGAGGGACTAATCCCATTCACCTTGATCTGCCAGGATTACACAGTATAGTTGTGCTGAAAGTGACTGCAAATATATGCATTCCCCCACCTTATCTACCCAAGTATAGTATGGTGTAAGGATTTGTAGTCATGTTGTAGCCATTCTCTTTCATCCCAACTAGCCCTTGCCAATATGTGACTAGCCAATTAGATTGGGCTACTCCATCCACCCATCTATCCCAGGTTGGGACTGACATGGCATGTTGTGGAAATTCCTGGCCATTTTATACTAGGTCAGGAATCACTCAATCACCAGGACTCCATCCCTGGGCATCACAGGTTACCACCCACAGCAAATAGGTGGCCCCATTGAAGGGAATTTGCAGTTTCTGGGAATCAGGTTTTGTAAATGTGTGCTTTATATATTGCAATTTTATAGGTATTTTGTATGAATAAGTAGTTTAGGCATAGATTTTGTGTAAACAGATAGTTTGTGGATTATGATTTTTGTTGGTAGTTTAAAAGTGTCTATTTTTTTTCAGTAGATTGTATGGAAAAACTTATTTTTCCTAAAGGCACCATTCTAGGCATAAACGGATAGGTTGTAGGCTTATTGTATAAGTTGACAACATGTAGGTGAAGTTTTCTTCATACAAATAATTAGTTTCTAATCCATCTTGCTTTCCATACTATGCCTGGTAGTAGTTTAATGTCCTACCCAAGTCATAGGTGAACTTGTTTTGTGAAAAAAAAAACCCCAAAAAACATGATTTTAATTTAGCCCAGGATGTGAATGCAGTTTAATGTTATGCCCAAGACATGCATTTTTCTGAAGTGGCAGGAACTGACTGATGACTTGTTGAAAGAACACATCCATTTTGATGATTAAAAGTCTGTTCAACCATGAACCATTTTTCATCAATGAAGGTGATGTTTTGTGGCAAGCGATCATGAATCCATTTCAGCAACTGCTTACTTTTTTGAAACCTTTTTTCATTGTGGCTGCTGAAACAAGCTGTCTCTTGGTTATCTTGTTGGGTAACATCCCTAGATCATTTTGACATAGCCTCTGTATAGTTCTCTTCAATGTTCTGACCTCCTTAGCCAATTTTCTCATTGACCTTCTTGGATTATGCCAGATTTTTTCACACACAGTTTTGGTGCAAGGATATCCTGGTCTCTGTCTATCTTTGAGGGATGGAGTCTCATATTGATCAGTTGTCCTTTTCATAAACATTCTATTAATTCCAAGTTGTTTTACAGCTTTAAAAATTTCAAGTGGAGTCAGTCTGTTTTCATGTTGTTCAATTGTATACTTACTTTTAATTTCTATAGATATTTTTACCAGCAAATACTAAAAGTCTTTTTAAATAAAAAAGTATATATTGTTGGGTGAGTATCAATCCTTAAATAACAATGTAATGAGCAAAAATTTAGAAGTAGAATTAATTTGAAATTTTGTAACAGCATTCATGCTGCACCCTGTATATAAGTTAGGCAGATATACAAACACTGAGACTATGCTGAAAAAAGACCCACATGAAGTGGCAGAACACATAGTAAGGATGGAAGACTATTGTCTCCCAAAGATCTTCCTGTTTAGGGAACTAATCTCAGGCTTGCAAAGTAGGGATCCACAGAAGAGATTCTTTAAACAATAAAAAAAAGGGCCAATATCTCCTGTGGATTCAACTGGCATCAGAGAGACAAGGTTTTCCTGCCAACTTCCCTTGCAGAAGCAAACTGAAGATCAGTAGCAAATAAAGAGGTGGTTAGGCAAAGCAGAAGCTTCCTCCAGTTGCTAGACCTCTTGTAACTGATGTGGGAAGACCTGCGTCTTCCACATAAGCCTTGTTAGTCACCCAAGGGCTTACATTGAATACCTTCCTAAATTTTCATTCAAAGCCAAACCATGATCTATAGTGGGTGGGTTTGAATTATAATTATTCAAATAAATTATCATATTTATATTGAAATTTACATTAAAAAAACAAAACAAAAAAAAACAAGAGAAGGAATAATACTCACAGCTCTAAAAATCACATGAAGTGGCATAGATATATGAAAATTAAGGGCCTGGTTATTAACAACTTGTACAATGAAGAACATTATCACCATGAGGACATAATTTCTGAAAAAGATGAAGTTTTAAATACATTTGTATATTGTCAAGCGGTAAACTCAGTTTAGTTTGGCATATTTTCTAGTTACTATATCATTTATAAAGACATAATTACTTTTTAATAAGACATTGAAATGTGGAAATCATCCTACCAAATTTGATATGTCTAAGCCAAACTATGAATGTTTGTTAAACAATATAATTTTAAGAATTTGTTTAACATTAAATACATTCTAAATCTTTTTTATTACATCAGTTTTTTTTTTATTGTAAAGATTTCCTTGTTTTGCAGTATCTGAAATTTCCATTATTCTATATAAAGTATTTTAAAAATTGAACCAAAATCTATTATAAGAATATATTTCTAATATTAGATTTTCTTGAAGTAAAATCGATCTTGAATAAAATTTGTGTGACATTTGATTTTATTCTAAATGCCAGTGAGTAAAAATGACAAAGAACAAGAAAACTTTATGTCATGAATAAAAAGGCAAAAAAAAAAAAAAATCCCGATTGGACAAAAATGAATTCACAGAAGAATAAAATGCAATGTTTTTACATAAATCAACAAGAAGCTGAGAAAAATCAATAGAATAAAAATGTAGTATATATACAATAGAGCAATACATCAGAGAAACTTCTGAAATAATATGGAAGTCTCTCAATTCACATTAAGGCATTTTGTACTAGACACAAAAATTTGCTATGCAAGTGACAAGAATCAATCAAGAAACAGAGATCAAGTTAATCTTTATATGTACTTTTCTTATAAGACAGAACTAATATCAGAAAAGTATACAACATTACAGAAATGAGCAATGAATATCTTTTTATAGAGCATGAATATAGTAAAGAGTATTGGTGGGGCTACAATTTTTGCCATTGGTATTTCTTTTTAATTCTAATTGTGCTCAGATGAACCTGACATACACAGAATTTATTAGAAATTGTATGAAATGTTATTTAAGTTACAACACAAGTAATGTTTTGAAGGATGCTCTTCATGGAAAAGTGACAAAATATTTTTTATACGTACTTCATAGGTATAGACGGAGCCACTGAGCCAAATTTGGCTGTAAAAATAAAACCTTCAATAGCAATGAAGAGGAACTGGGAAAATGTAATGATGTTACCACTTCCAGGCATTTCACTATAAAAAACAAAAAACATTGTTATAAAGATAAGTTTGTGAAAAGTACCATAATTTGCAGCAAATAAGATACATTCTAAATTTAGCATGAAATATTGTGAGTGGGAAAATAATTTTGTGGGAAATTTCATAGATCTCGTAATCCAATATGAGAGATTTATACATACCAAACCTAGCCTTCACTGTGAAGGGTGCAAAATGGTTTTGAGGGTCAGATTTTAAGGAAAATATGCACCTTATAAACCACAAAGAATGGTTAATTTTACAAATCAGTTGCATAAAGTCAGTCACAATATTTATTTTTCAGTCATTATTATTTCATTTGCTTTTTTTTTTTGCTTTCTTTGGTGTGTATGTCTGTGTGAGTATACACATGTACTAAACAAATCTGCTTCATCTAAGATGCTTGGATTATCTCAAATAGCATGTAGGTTGAATCTATTATTTAGAAGCTTTAGATAAGTGGCTTACAGAAAAAAATCTGTAAAGTGAGAGTATATTTAAAAAAAGAAACAGTTCATTACAGGGAAATAGTTTATTTTTCCTTCAACTCAAGTAAAATAATTAAAAATTACTTGCTAAATATTAAATAAAATTTGAATAAAAAAAACTTGATCACTTATAAATTAAAATGGTACATGTACAGTGTACACATACATCTATAATGGCCAGCTACTTGTTTACCAGCACACCTGTCTGCCAGGGCAACTAGCCAATCCTTGTTGCAGATGCCTGTTCAGTTACAGTTTTGTCTATTCAACACCTAAAGTGTTCACTATACTCTAACTATGCTGAGCAGACCTTAGTTACAGTTTCTGGGAGAGTGTGCAGAATTTGGCATGATGACCAGTTTGAACATGGCCAGTATGCTCAAACCTTCAGTCACAATGATTTGTGACTTTATGGTAGCACAACCATTGACAGCTAATATATATATATTCTAATGAAATACATTTATGAACATTGTTTCTATTAGTCTCAAATATTTTTACATGAATTAATTTTGGGCACATAATATATATAGTAATTTTCCATACACTTCTGTCATATTTGATAGCAGATCAGTTTTCCCCTTTTACATTTAATATTAATTGTTGGTTCCAATCCAAGTAGCAATGACTGTAAAATACTTTCCCCTTCCCACTTTATAGATGAAACATACAGATGCATGCTGGGAATTCTTCCTAGCTAATAAGGCTACTTCTTGGTCTCATCTAACTGTCTTAGTCTGCCTTGACATCAGAATGCTATGTTTGGTTTCATCAGAATTCCTTCTTGTGTGTCAACACCAGTTCTTAGTTTGTGCTTTATTATTGTTGCTTTGCCTTGCATATATTGTTTGTTTGCTCAATATTATTAATATTTTCTTTTTTTTTTGTTATTGTTTATTACAAACTTTGTCAATTTTATTTGTTGGTCAGTTCTGCCATTTACATTTAACCATGGCCTCTTACTTTGTAACAATCTTAATACTATTATGGAGCTAGGCTAGCTACAAGTATTGGTATTCTATGGCATGTGGGTAAATAGTAGCCTACTAGATACTTCAGATTTTGCATATACAAAAAGGTGGCAAAAAGTTCCCAGACTAACCAAGAATCCTTAATTAAAATTAAAAAAAAAAAAAAGAACTTTTTAGGTCCCTGTTCTAAAACCCAGGATATATTTTTGAGTATTTTTTAGGGTGTCTGTCTGTGTGAAAAAATGGTTGCTTATAAGTCATTAAATGCCTTATTAATAATAAAAGGTTATACAATATATTCATTAACACACCAATTATGATTAATTACAGATCAACAGACATTCCCTCTGTTTACAGAGGGAGGGCTGTCTGGACCTGGCATATATTGTTTCCAATGTCTTCAAATATAATAAAGAATGAGCATGACTAAGGATAGAGAAAAAGTCAATGCTGAAATTGGTGGCACAGCTTGGATTATTTATAAGGTGCTCAGTGATGGCAGAGCTGTATGCGTTGTTGATCTTGTCACCAGATTGGAATGGAACAATTTTTGTCCTTCACAACCATGAACACTAAATACTTACTCTATATTTAACAATACCTTGATGATGACATTATGCTATATCGAAAGCATTCGGAATAAATACAATATGAGCCAACATGGTGTTTTCCTCTCATCTTTTAACAAACACACAAAAAAGCTTATTTGCGAATATGAAAGGATCTTATTGAAAATAAGTAGATAGAACATGTCTAAATTATTTAACAAAACCTGTCTGAATATATATATATATATATATATATATATATATATATGTGTGTGTGTATGTGAATTGGGATAAGAATCTGACAGAATGATAGGATAAGGAACAAATATGAACATTTATAAACCAATTTAAAATCACTCTTTCAGAAACCTCAAATTAATCTGTATAAAAAATCTTCTGTAAATAATTGTTTACCAAAAGTTACATTAATTAAAAATAATAACTGTAAAGGAAAGCCGAGATCAACATGTATGTTCTAGCCTTGAAGTGAATTAATCATACTTGAAATATGTCACATGAATTTTCCCCCTCATTGATAAATCTAAGCTGGTCAAATAAAATGGTAGTCAGTTTAATTTATTATAATAAATTGCCCTAATGATAAGAACAATCTTGTAGGATTTTCCATATTGGATATAAAATAAATCTGCAATAATAAAAAAATTTGCAATCTATCTTTCTCAGTTTTTATATGTTAAAATAAATCTGTAATATAAAAAAAATATCAGTATTCTTTCTTTATACATTTACAGTAGATGTTTATTTATTAAAGACATGCAAAAGTTTGCAGCACCTTCTTGAAAACTGGAAGTTGAATACACAGTAGAAAACCACTTTATTTTGATCACTGGAAACTTTTGCATGCACTTAATATTTGGTTGCTATCAAATACATTTAAGTAAGGCCACCAAAAGTTTTAGATCTTTGATTTTCTCTTATCAAATGCAATAAATTTAAACTGGGCTTTTATCTTTAGATGATTCTTCCCTTCCAAATAAATTATGATAGAATTACATTAAAAATACAAAATACATTAAACTGATAAAAAGTATCAAGATCTACATTTGATTTTAAGAAAAAATATTGGCTTAAAGTTTCATCTTATTGTGTCTCCATATAAGGAGAAAAAATACTGACTGGTTCTTTGAATCAATTCACAAAATAAAGGAAATCATGTATTTTATCAAAAATGTCAAAATTTGAAACCAAATATGTTACATACAAATATTTTACCTAATACTAAACATTTTTTTTTTATGAAGACTGTATTAGTTGCTTAATTTAAAAAAAAAACATGCCAAACTGTTCTGACAAGATCATTTAGTTGATGAGTTTATTTTAAATTCTTGTTCCGAGTTTATTCATTTTAGTATATCTATTTAGATAGTTGATTAAGAAAAGCAAATAACATTTGGAGGAATAATATGAAAAAGAAAAATGTTGAAGACTCATGCGGCATTTTGAAAATGTAATTTATTTCCAGTCAAAGTTGTTGATTATTAAATGAAATGGCTATAAATACCAGCAATCAGTTCAGATTCAATGAAAATATCAATTGCAAATTAAAAGCAAATGATCTGCTGATTAAATCATTGCATAACAAGATTACCTAGTGACCCTAATAACAGAAATTTAAACTTCATTGAGATTTTCATGGTTCTAGGGGATAAAAATGAGATTGTACTCGTAAAGCAGTGCAATCAGAAACAAAATCCAATAACTAATGACATTAATTCTTAAATCATTTTATTCTCTTTATTTTATTGTCTATACATGCATGTTAAATTTTATGCCTCATAACCATAAACAAAATCATTTTTATCTCAAAAATTAATATTGAACAGGAGGAACATCCGTTTTGTTATACCTTGATATTTATAGTGTATAAAAGTCCTTTATACATTTTTGACAAAAAGAGTTGTTATTGTATAAGTAAAGTTACTCTTGTATTAATTATAAATGCTGATGAGGAAAATATTAATGAGAAATTTTTGCATTTTTCCATTTTTTAACTAAAGTTTGATGAAGCAAAATTAAAGTTTATTTTTTTAAAACAAGTGCACAAATTGCTAAGCCTTTTATTTTCACAATGACCAATACAGATTGTTAATAAATGTTGACTAATAATATTCTTGAAATGCAGTAGATTCAAAGTATTTAAGATAATTAAAACATTAGGGTAAATTTAGCTTAAATATTTACATTGGAGGACCATATATATGAAATATTTTTTGATCTTGAAATGTAACTGAAATTCATAAGAATTTCTATAGTCAGGAATTAAAAGGTGTACAAGAGGTTATTTCATAAAGGTTATTGGGTGAAATTAAGCATTTTAAAAAAGAAATTAAAAATATTAATTTAGAAATATTGAAGCAAATAAATAAGTTAAAAACAAAAAGAAAAGAGTTTTAAGCATTTTCTTTTGAACATGTCTTTCACTATTGATGGTGTAAGTTTATATGCTATTTATTTTCCCCTTTTTTTTCTGACAAGAAAAGTAAGAAATAAGTGCTCTGGAATATATGTATATACTATTAATTTGACTTTTGCCTTTGTGCACAGCATAAAACAATTTTTAATTGATAGCTGTATAAATCAGCCCAGTTTTTAATGTAATTAACAACCAAAAATGGCAAATGTTCATACTTATTTTTATGCTATCAGTTTGTAGAGGTCAAAGTTCACTGAAGATGTACAATTATAGTTACAAACAATTTCTACATTATACAATTATTTGTCTTCTTAAAAACTCTGAAGAGTTCTTTAAGTTCTGATGTCTCTTTTTTATTATTTGACTTAGCATCATAAAAAGGAACACAAAGGTGGATCATCTGTTCCACATTGCTGAAAATTCTAAGATACTTGTCAAAATATTTTTAAGTATAAAGAAAATATCTGTTCAAATCTTCATAAATAAAAGACATATGTCTGTGTCTGACAGTACTACAATTCTCAAATGGTAAATATTAGAAATATGGAGTGACCTG